CTGCGTCTACACAGCATTTTTATCTCTATATAGGGTATTTCGAAATAGTGGCTGGACGTGAATATGCAAATAAAGCACAGGAAATTCAAATCCGCATTTCATTTGCAATTTCGCTTGGCTGCATTTGCATTCCTCTCTCAAAAGAGGAATGCAGCGCAGACATACCCTAATACCGTTGCAGTACCATGTTCAGTTCTGCTTCAAAGATATCATAGAACTATATCGCTGGAAGGGACCTCAAGAGTTCACCTAGACAATCCCCTCCATGCTAAGGGACCAGAGTTCTTCAGTCATGAAAGCACTCCCCTAGCACAGGCCTTACCGGAGCTGGGCCTCAAATCCAACTTTCATTCACATGCCTAAGGCCTAAGCTATGAGGACTTTGTATACTAATGCCAATAACAAGTGGAGTTAACTGAGGACACATGCAACTAACTCTGATGCTCATGCCCAAAAGAACACCCATGCACCCATCTTTCAGCCCCCATACTGAAAAAAATAAATAAAAAGAACTGTCAGTGTTCTTAGTATCTTTGGTACAATCAGAGTGCCCTCAGAAAACACCAGCCAGAATGGAGCAACCCATAGTCCAAGAAAAGGTGAACATGCAGGGGACGTGGGTGGCACTGAATGAAATGTCAGCAGGGAGATGCAGATGAGAGATCTCCCTGTTATTATACATGTGGTAGCACTAGTAGTGTGACATGATGACAGGTCTCCATTAGGAGGGCAGGAAACCAAACACAACTGCAGGCACTTGCTCCAGCCACTCTCGGGTTAGCCTGTCACATGGATTCCTTTTCAGACAGCTAAGCTCAGCATTGTCCCGAGGGCCAAATACAATGTTGAAAATCTCTGATCGATGTTTTTTGCCTAAGGGTTGCAGACACGTCAGATGACTTCTCCTGATATCGGTAAGGAATCTGGCCTTTCATTCAGGAAAAAGATCAAGAGAATTAGAAGTTAATTACCTCATCATGTCTCCTTGGCAGGACTTAGCATTACAACTGGCTTGGGGAATTTTTCACCAAATGTTCTGTTGTGTGTTGATAAAATGGAAACTTTTCACTGGAGAAGATTGGCTTCAATGAAAATGTCATTGACAATGTGTCTTGAGTCCTGGATAAAGTTCTGATCAAAAGGTGAGAGACCCCAAAATAGTCCAGTGGATGAAGAAGACCCAGGTTCAGATCTCTGCTCTGAACCAAGCAGAGCAGGCATGGAAACCTTCCTCTCCAGCATGCTGGGTCCGTGCCCTAACTTCTGGGCTATTAACTCACTCTCTCTGGCCCAATAAATAGTGGATTATGTACACAGTGAAACAGCTCCAAAAGGCAAGACTGGGAGAGCCCCATTACACAATTGCCAATAGCCTGGTAGCTCAAGAACTCAGGGCGGATGTAGGAAACCCAGCCGAATGCCCTAACCATTGGGAAGGGGAGTCTCTCTAATTTTTGTAAAACTTTTCTATGGTCTTGGTTTTGTCCCAATGCAGAACAGGACATTTTAAACAATGTTTCATGAGAGGGAAACCATTTCCCACTCAGCTTTCCTTAGCACCATTTTACATGATTTAGTTTTCTACCACTGTCATCGGGTGGAAAGCTGGCTAAGACACTGTAAATGAAAGATTGCAATAAAGGTCAGGTGCAAAGTATTGGGAGGTGTCCCACTGGAGCTAGAGATCAGGGTTATGGCTGGTCATTAATGCTAAGGGTATGCAAATCAATACTTTATAAAGACCATTCAAAACAGGGAACATCTGTGAACACCACAGAGGAGGAGAAGAAAATCCAAGGAGGTCTCAAAAAGATTGATAACATGGGCAGGAAATAAAATAAGACTCAATCTGGGGAAATGAAGCTACTCCAACTGAGAAAAAGCAAGCTAAACTCACCAGCCTCAGCGGGAGAAAGCACAAGGAGTAGGAGATGCTGATGGGAACTCAAGGGTAGGGTAGGCAGTAAGTCAGTGTTAAGTTGGCAATACAAGATGGCCGTGAAAAGGCCAGTACAATCTGGGAACTGTATAAGTAGAGTCTTCATGTCTCTGAGCAGGGAGGGGTATACCAGTCCCATTCTGTATAGCTTTGGTACAATCGCAGCTGAAATTATGAGTCCATTAGCAATGGTTGCTTCTCTGCCTTGCATGCTGTACCGCAGGGTGATCTACGTGACTGGATCAGTCTAGCACTCCTTCTAATAAACGCTGCCTTGTCTGCATAGCCCTTTCAATGTGGTAGACAGACCATATTAGCTAACATATGCTAACATCATGCCTTGACATCCAAGACTATACAAGACTTAATATCTTGTGTTGGCTACCTGTGAGCCTCTCAGAAGCTGCTGTGGGCCCTCAGATATGGTCATTACGGGCAAGAGCCAAGATAAATTAATCCAAGGTCTATCTCACTAAATTCCTTTCTGGGCATTTCACCACCACAAAGATACTGAGACTTTGGAAGTCGTTCTGACAACAGCAACAAAATGAGCCAAGAGTCAGGAGGAGGTGAATTGTGGTGAGACCACCAGAGTATGTTTAGGCTGGCTCAGAGATGAGAAGGAGGGGGATGGAGGACTAAGCAGTATCTGAGATAGATGTCATTCAGTGTGATACTTGGGACTGTACAGGAGCTAGAATTAGTGGGTTGAAACTAAGAAATGGAAAATGGAAGCAGAGTATGAGAGCAAACTCTCTGATAACGGCATGTGTTCATCTGTAGAATAGTTTCCCTGCTTACACAGGGTGGAATCCCCAATGCTGGGGACATTTAAAACAAGGCTGGCACCAAACACTAGAAAATGTGCTGAAGGTCACAAGAGTAAACTGACTCTGAGAAGTAGGCTGAAAGATCTAATAGGTCTTTGCTAACTCTAACTTCTGTGAGTCTCAGATTTTAGTAAAGCTTCTTAGATGTCATTCTCCAGCTAAGCTGCAGTGAACTCTCCTCCAGTCTCAAGCACACTGGTAATTTGCCTTTACACTTTGAAGTAGGGACTATCATACTGAAAGGTGCCTAACCTGTTGCCTGTTCTTTACAATATGGCATTGTACCTATTCAATTTGTTATCCAGTGTCTGATATATCATTCTTGCTAAAACTAATGCTGGAGGGGATGTAGATTAACCAGTGATCTCATAGTGTTCATTACACTCAGGGTGCATTTATACTACAGAGGAAGATTGAAGCTGCCACTATCGATCTTCCAGGGTTCGAATTAGCAGTCCACTTGAGACAGTTAATTGAAAGTGAGGGGGCACTCCGGTTGATGCCAGTAACCCTGCTTTTACAAGGAGTAGGGAAGTCAAAAGAAAAGTGTTCTTCCTTCAATTACCTGCAGTGTAGACAGCGCCAAAAGCTGAGTTAAGCTACTTTGACTTCAGCTATGCAAATAACATACCTGAAATTGTGTGTCTTAAATCGACTTTGTCCTGTAGTGTAGACATACCCTTCATTATACTGACCTCTATGCAACAGCATGGGCAGAAGCAGTTAGCTTCCCCTACACTGCCTCCTCCAGGACTAAGGCAGTGGGGTTTAGTGCCCATGGCTCTTTCAATCCACAGTCTCTGTCACGGGGAGGATTTTTGTCCATTAAGCACTAGACTGAGACCTGTCACCTCTTTTCATGTAGCATTTCACTGCCACGGTGCACTGGTCTGGGTTTGAGCTAGCAACCTGCAGGTAAAAAGCTGTACGCACCATTACTGCTCCCCCAAGCAATCCAGCTCACTAGAATGGAATTGCTTCTAATGTCAAGATTATTGTAAAGAACTTTCAGATCCCTTGACACGATAAGATACGAAGGAAAATGTAAGTTGCTGTGTTTGGGGTTTTAAATTTACCCTGAGGTTGTCCATTTGTCACAATCTAAAGAGAAAGTATGTTGTTCCTCTCTGTTTTGTCTCTTGATATATTTTTGTTTTCCTTATCTATGGCGATGGTCATATGCTTGGAAAATGGATACTTGCAAGCACAAAACAGGCATAGATCATAGAGAGCACAGCTCTGCAGCAGCTCTGTCACTGGGCAATGCTTGGTTAAGTGGACAGGTTACAGTTCTCTTGCTGAGAAGTTTCTTTCTGGCCACAGATGTGTTTCATCCTCCATCACCAGCAACTCTTGCTGTTTCTGCTCTCCAGTCCTCATGTGTCCATTTTCTTACACCAGCCAACAGTGAGATCCACCAGGCTGTTGCCCTGGCTAATTGCACTGGGAACAATGCATAGAGAAAGTGGTGCTCCTGCTGTCTGTTCCCTGACAAAGCCTCCAGCAGAATGTAACAGCTGGAAACCAACCAAAAGGGTGGCAAGCAAGAAGTTTTGGAGATCCAAAAAAGACAGAAAACCCTGAGATGGTAAGACACAAAAGATTCTGTTTATAGATCATTACGCAGGGGAGATAAGAGATTGGTTTGGTAGGTTAAACAGGTGGGAAAGGAGGAGATATGGACAGGTCACCACTGGGCAGTGATTGTTACATGCACTAAAATGACTGTATAGGGAGCACCATGACAGTAACTGGTGTTTCACTGCACACAATGGAAGACAGAATCTCTACCCCTAACAACTTACCATCCAAACTCCAAGAAGTACACTGCATGGGACAGCTGCTGAGGTGCAGAGACATCACTGGTGGCCTGAGCATCGGAGGCTGCAAAGAAAGAGAGAAGTTTTGAGGAAGGAGAGAGAAGGCACATGGCACTGGCTGAGGTCTGCTCCAAGCATTGGGAGCCGCATGAATGAAGGTCTGGAGGCACACAGGAAGTGAGAGACAGTGATAGCTGTAACTGGCAGCCAATAGGACAGCGTTGGAGCTTGATTAGGGGTGAGTTGACTTCACAAAAAAATTGTTTGTTTGCTATCTTCTGCGTTTCTCATTGGCTGGCTAGTTTTGCAGCCCTGGCAGAGCAGGCTCTGCTAGTATATCTAGCAGTGGTGCTCCCGATCTGCGACAGATAGCGAGAGTCAGAGAAAAGCTGTCAGAACTTGAGAATGAACCTGAAGATGCTCCTACTCTTTACTGCACCTCTTCTTTATTCAACTCTAGGCTTCCCTATTCAGGTGAGAGTAATTCCACACAACCCTTCTGTTTACTGTATCTGATCTCTGCTTCTTTGACTGATGGATAAGCTCTCCTTTTAATATTTCCCAGCTATGTTTCTAAAAGAAATATATTAGTTTGTAATGTTATTTTACATCAGTGCCTGAGATTGACTCTTCCATTTCGCTCACTTTGTTGTTGTTGTTGGATTTGATTTTTTGAGTTAACATTCAAAAATGAAAACTTAAGTATATTGGTTTTGCAGGAGTACGATGGATATGAAGATGCAAGTAAGTAAGATTTATACAATAATTTAAATATAAAAATGTAAAGAAATTACTAAAATAAGACTGTATAAAACAAAAATATCATAACCAGATCTTCAGATGGAGTAATTTGGTGTAGCCCCAGCAAAGTCAATAGAGTTATATTCATTTACACTATCTGAGGCTCCTAGTCTTGATAAGTTATTTATCCATGAATAGATATGCCACTAAATTACACTTATCTGGTTTCCAGTGAGATTTTGGCTTTCTGCTCAATTTCCCATCTATTTCATAAAGGTACACATGAACTGTCACAGACCAATAAAACTTTATATTTTAAAGAACACTTTACTGGGTTAAATAATAAATAACAGTAGAAGGAATGAGAAATTAAGAGGTGCAGACAAAGGAGTAAGGATGTTTTCAGTTGAAATGGGAAAAGAGATGGAGTCACAAAGGCAAGGACATTCAGCAGCACTGGTCAGATGGCAGGAAAAGCACTGAAGAATGCACATGGAACCACTGTGGTAAAGATGAGGGACTTTTTATGAAAGAAGGTCAGTGCTGTATGTATAGAGAGTGGAAGAGAAATTGAGAGATGGTGACAGCTACAAAAAGTCCAAGATTTTATGTACAAAGAGAGCAATTTTGTGCTAGATTCTGGAATGGATGGGAGCCAGAAGAGTTATTTGAAGATGGTGTGTACATATGTATGTATGTGCATGTGATTGTATAGGGCTGAAGTCAGACAGTCACAACTGTACATACAAATGGCTATAGAGTTGGGAGATACAAAGGCCATAGTGAAAGGCTGAAGTCCTGGAGAGAGCAAAGGAAGGCAAAGCTTTCTGTAGGGATAGAGTGAAGGCAGTTGCAAATGGATAATGTTGTATAGTTTGTATATGTGTATGTAAAGAGAGAGAGAAAGAGAGAATTTTTTATTAGCAGATTTCAGAGGGCTTCACAATCTTTTTTAAAATGTATTCATTCTCACAGAAGCTCTGTGAGGTTGGGAAGTGCCAGTATCCCCATTTTTACAAATTTGGGAAATGTCACAGAGAAGCTAAGGATCTTGCCCAAGGTCACACGGAAGGATGTGGCACAGAAGGGAATTGAACCCAGGTCTCACAAGCGCTAGGCCTTAACCACAAATATATAAAACAAGCAACCATAAAGCCTCATCTGGGCCATTCACTCTCATTTGTTTCATCAGAAGAAATGGAGGGAACCTATTAAAAAGCTCCTTGAAAAGAGCCATGGAAATAGTTAGAACTTGAAATAGAACTTCCATGCAATAAGACATTGCAAAGACTGTTGTGTGTTACCCCAAAGGAAGAAGTGTGAAAAGGAATTTTGTGTGAGATACTCAGAACTATGGTACGGCTAATGAAAACTGACTAGTTCCTCCTTCGTTCCCTGTCTCAGAATGTGAGAACAAAGGCACACTCCCAGATTACTAAAATTTCAATTAGTAAATTTGGAAGCAACTCAGGGACACACTCCATTGAATAGTGAACCATTGGAGCTCACAGCTATTTAGGGCCCTTAATGGAAATATTATGGGGCGATGGAATTTTGCAAAGTTGTAATTTATCTTTATTTCAATTTTTGTCTCTTCTGTGAAATCTGGTATTTATGGTGTTGTTAAAGAAACTTTGAACTGCATTGTTCATTGCCATCCTTGCTGATACCCAAAGCCCAGGGATGATGCAGCAGGCATGATGCAACCAGGCATGATGCAGCAGATGCATGCTGAGACTTCTACCTGCAGACACCCTAATACTTTCAGATCAAATGATTGCATGTTGGAAATGAGAAAGTGGGTGCAAGGAATCTTTCCTTTCACTCTGTACACACATGCAGGGGGTATGCATCATCTGGCTGACAACCCTTGGGAGTTTATGGTCAAGCCAGCTGTACTAATAACCCCAGAGGAGAGCATCTCTGAGAGGGATGAAGTTTCCCTTTGAACAACCAAACAAGCACTAATAAGGCCTTGTGCTTTTCCCTCGTAGTGCACCATGTGCCTCCCCCAAAAGGTGCGCAAATATTATGATGCAGAGAGCATAAAAACAGACAAGCACATAAGGGGTGCACCTCTTGGTATGGCTTTAGCTCAGGGGTAAAGTTACAAGGACTGGGTAGTTTACCTTGCTAAGGCTTTACCATCCATATTTCCTCTTGTAGATTTTACTGCTTATCCTACGACAAGTGACGTGACCCCTTCTAGTGACATCTTACAATCCACTCAAGGTAAATGATGTAAAAACATGAACCCAATAACTTCCAGTCCTCTCATAGTTTACTCTGACTGTAAATGACAAGCATTTTATTATGAGATCTGGAGCACTGCTCTGCATTGTCTCTATCTTTGCTTGTTTCCTAGAGTGCCATATGGTAGGTGTACTGCCTGACACACAACGTTAATAAGCTATGGACAGGTTAGGCTTGAGAGTACCTGGTCGTATGCAGGTGTGCAAGGACCTGGACATATTATGTTCCTTGTTCTTCCCTAATACTTGTTCTGAACCCCCCACATAGTGAGCCAGGAGGTGGCTGGCCAAGCCTCTTGCTTTTTCACACAGGCCAGTGAACCTGGCTACCCTTATGAGCCTGCTCGTGTTGTACTCTGAAACTGTGCTGCAGTAGCCTTGAAAGCACAATATACACGAGTGCTTTGTTTGTAATTGATGCTCATAGCATTTTAAAGAAGGCTTGCTGGCATCCTCAAAATCACCCAGAGAACCCTTATCCCAAGGAAAGAAATGCAGCAACTTGCAACTGATATGAAACTACATACTCTATTATCTCATACTTTCCATTCTCCAGAGCTCTGAGTAAGACTTCGGGAAAATTTAACACCATTGTTTCCTTCTACAGACTACAAATCCATAGTGTAGACAGAAAATTAAAGGTTTGGCTTTACTAGGATTTTACAAGCCAGCCAATGTAAACAATTTAAAAAATGCAACAATACAAAATAAGACCTTGTTTTCCATCTGTGCATCCCAAACTCAACAAGCCTTAAAAAAAAAGTTGCCCACTAATTCCATGTAAAAGCTGTGTCCTTTGTATTCTGGTTTTCAAGCCTGGATATCTAAATAGGGCTTTGAACTCTTTCATTCAGATACTCAGGTCAGCATGTAGGCACCGAATATTGGCATTGAAATGCCAGCTCGGGTACACAAATAATTAATACAGTCACCTTGTTTAGATGTCCAAGCTTTAAATTTAAACAAACACATTGTTTGCCACATTTAAACAACAGGCATTGATAAAAACAGATTCATATTAGGATAAAATCTTGACCCCTCTTCCTTTTATCCTAACTGTTCACATCAAGTTCCCCATCTCAGCAGGCATTTAGGGCATGAAAGGCAATAGAAGCATAGCAAGCTCGCTCTGCAAGGGAGACAAGTAGTAAAAAATCTTGGCAGGGGAGGGGCAAAAATGGGACTGAACCCTTTGAATATCCCAGACCTGCTCTGCCAGAACGCCATCTATGATAGAACTGGAGCAAGCAATCTGGACCTTGGCAAGAAGTTCAAGATCAAGGGCTAAATTACAAATGTGTTTCGGTGTCTAAAGATGCAAAGTGGTGCCTACTGGAAATTTTAAAAGCACCTAAATGAATTAGGCCCTTGACTGACTAATAGAGTCCCCGACATTTAGTAATTTTTCATATGTTGCTGAATCAGTTAAAGCCATCTCTAAAATTTGCTGCCACTGAAGAATTTTAGGTTGCACTGAAGTTTCAGGGTCAATGGATCAGAACTGACTGACGTTTGATACAGATAAATTTGATTGCAAACTAGAGTAAAAGAGTGGAGAATCCGATCCAAAGGCTCTTTTGAATTTGTTCCCTGTAAAAGCAATTTTTGTTGCGGCTTTTAACTATTCATTAAGAGGAGAGAGAAAAAGGTCTATTCTTCGCCTTATGTTTGTGTAACATCCGTTCATGTCTATCCATTTGGCCTGAGTTATGAAATCTGGATTCAGTGGAACCAAAGATCTGCATCTTGAGGGGTGGTGATAAAAAAACCACAAAACAATAGACTGATTTATGAGACTGTGTTAACTAATAAGTAACCATAGCTCTTGTGGGGGTCACAAGATTGTGTACTTCTGAGCAGAATAAATAAATGGTTTTATGCCATACCATCTCATAATTTTCTTTTGGACTTGATTTTGATTTCACACACACTGGTGTAAATCAGAAATATGTTGAATGAAATCAATGTAGTAACTCCAGTCTGAAGTTGCTTTGGGAAAGGCAAACTGACATCTTTGCATTTCTGTGCAGAAGTGGAGCTGGCTGCAGTGACGGACACAGAAGAAGATGTTTTTAACCGAATTTTGAAAGCTAACGCAAGTAATGACTTCACAGCTGTACACGTATCTTGGTTCTTTTCCGTGTCTTTTTTTCTCTGATCTTATGAACACACAGAGTTCTAGACAAACTTATAGATGAGGCATGTTCTTTTTGCTTAGCAGTCTTTTAATCTGCAAAGGATGTCAATCTGTCCAGTTGTGCCTGGCATGTCTGATGTTGAAGGTGCTAAGTATTTTGGAGAAATCTGAACTGTGCAGGCAGGTTAATGGCTTTAGATGTAATTTTGGATGTCTTTGTACTTCTTGGATTTAGAAAAAGATCATTGAATATTTAAATCATTGGTTAATTGTCTTGAATGCCAACATCTTGTAAGTAGCCATGGGTCTTCAGCCATCATAAAACCTCAGAATATGTGCTCATAGATGGGATATTTGGTGGCTGATCAGACCCACTATGTCCCCATTCCAACTTCTTTTTTGAATCTTCTGGGTGCTTTTGAATTTATTGCGTTAGTTTTCTTTTCTCTATATTCTGTTTCCCCCCTTTTTCCCTTCCAGCAGTCTTTTGAATTGACTTTATTCCAGCAGATAAAAATTTCTCTTAGTGTCTCTCATACATTTCTTTGCATACCCTCTTCATTCTGTCTGTTCCTGAAGCTTCCATTCCTACTCCCTTTTTTGTTCTCTGTTTTGAATTTTGAATAGTGAAATGTGGATATTTTTAAGGTAGCATAAACCTCTCTCTCTGTCAATTCTCATCACCCCTCCCTACCTAAATGCTAACTGAGCCAGAACATCCCAAACAACCAATCCAAACAACCCTCTCATCTTTCCATATTCCATTCCTCCTTCTGTCTGCACAGACAGCACCGAGCACTTGCGTGAAGGTGATATTGTTATGACAAGGAGCCGAAGTGCTATTGGCTGTTCGGGTCGCCCATGTTTTTGGACCCAGTCTAGTGATGGAATTGTCCGTGTCCCTTATATCTTCTCGACCGACTATGGTGATTTGCATGTCTATGTTTTTTAATTAATTGTCATTAAAATATTAATTACATTTCAAATGCAAACTTAGTCAGTGTAACTATTTGAGGTAACACATGCCACTAGTTCACTTATGACACACATACAGAGACAAGCTATACATTACAGTGAGATAAGTGGGAAAAGAGAGCAATTGTCTCAGGTTAATTGTACCCATGCTGCTGACTATTCTTGTGCAGACAGTGATAAGATATATTATATACACTTTGTAAGGGATGTGTCTCTTGCATTACCTTGTGGATGCATTAATTATTTTAATCACATGTAGCAAAAGAATTGCCCATAATAATCAACCATCATCCCTATAATCTAAGATGAGAAACTCAGAAACTAGACTACTGTCCAAATCATTAGAACAACTGGAAAGGTGTGTCTAGACTACAGGGATTTTTCGAAAAAGTGGCCTTTTTTCAAAAAAACGTCCCCTACATCTACACTGCCTCTGCATTCTTTTGAAAGTAAATCGAAAGAACATGGCAGTTTTTTTGACCATAGAATACCTTGTTTTACGAGGAAGAACGCCTTTTTTTGAAAGTGCTCTTTTGAAAAAAGGTACTATGTAATGCAAACTGTGCTTTTTTGAAAGAGCATCCAGACTGCCTGGCATTCAGACTGCCAGACTGTGGCTTGCTTTTTCGAAAGTACTGTTTTTAGTCTAGATGCTCTTTTTTGAAAGAGGCTTTTTCAAAAATATTTTTTGAAAAAGCCTCTTTCGAAAGAGGCTTGCAATCTAGACGTAGCCTAAGAGAAGGGCCTTGCACTATGCCATTGAAACAACAAGGAGTCTTATGGCACCTTAATGACTAAGGATATGTCTGCACTTGCTCCGTAGTTCGAACTAGGGATGCAAATGTAGGCGACCGAAATTGCTAATGAAGCGGGGATTTAAATATCCTGCATTTCGTTAGCATAATCTCGCTGGAGCGTTACTCCGCTCAACAGCTGTTTCGAAAGTGAAAGTGCACGCCGGGACGTATTAGTTCGAACCAAACCCCTTGGTTTGAACTAACATTACTCCTCAAAAAATGAAATCCCCGCTTCATTAACAATTTTGGTATTTTAGCAATTTCGATATTTAAATCCCCGCTTCATTAGCAATTTCGGTCACCCACATTTGCATCCCTAGTTCGAACTAGGAGCAAGTGTAGACGTACCCTAACAGATTTATTTGGGTATAAGCTTTCATGGGTCAAAAGCACTTCGTCATTCATGCATTGGACAAAGTGATTTTGACCTGTGAAAGCTTATGCCCAAATAAATCAGTTAGTCTTTAACCACACAAGATTCTTCGTTATTTTTACAGATACGGGCTAACCTGGCTACCCCTCTGAGACTTATCACCATTAAAACTGTTAGGGTGAAATTCTGCATGAGATTGACTTGCCACTTAAATTCCTCATAAGCCTCATTTTGATCATACATTGACTGTTATGCTTCATATAATTGTTTTTGTGCAACAAGTAAATTAACACTTTCTTCCCCAGATGAGGCACAAATGCAGAGGTTTAGTGAAGCCATGGCAGAGTTTGAAACTCTAACTTGTATTGATTTTGTGAATCGCACCACAGAACTGGACTATCTAAATATTAAGTCAGGGAAAGGGTAAGTCCCTCTGGCACTGTTTCTTATTAAAAAAGTTTTTCTATCCCACCTTTCATGCCTTTGCTTCTTAAATCTTGAGAGGATGTAGTGGGGAAAGTGAACAGGATTTATTCGAGAAGCTCCACGCCATTTGAGCATACAAAGTCTAATGCTCAGTGTTATGCAACGAGAAGCAACATCATGAACTAACCAAATGCAGACTTAACTCTCAAACCCAGGAAAAGCAGCATGAAGATAGAAATTGCAATCCCAATGCATGCTACTGAGCCTGGGCATTATAGCACACACTTGAACACAATATGATTCTTAATTTGCATCAGGAAGTATCAATTTTAATATATCACGGAAGAATTAGCCCTCTAAGTTGGGGGCATAGTAGTCTGTCAAGGCCAAAAATCCAGCCTAGTGAGAATTGTCCAATATCCCTGCAATTCAAAATGCCGTCAAGTTTGCTCATTCCCTAAAAGCAACCTCAAGATAAACTTTACAGTAGTTTTAGAAAATTCATGTTTCTAAGGAGCAGTGGGTATAGTTCACCCTGTGCAGGCGGACAGCATCTGCACCACTCTTAAGGATTTATGTGGAACTTAAGTGTTGTTTAGGTCTTGCATTGGCTGTCAGCACGAGGTTGAATTTCACCCTTGTATGTGCCCCTGATATCACAAAAGATAGAAGAGAATGGCCATTCACTCCTTTAATAAACTGTATTTTGAAATTCTCTGTACAGTTCCCACAGCTGTTTGAAAGCAAACTTTATATGGTTCTTCCTCTCTTTTGGTGTTTACTTTTCTTCTCAGCTGCTGGTCCCACTATGGAAAGATTGGAGGTGGGCAGATTGTATCTGTGATGAAACAAGGCTGTATGTGGAAAGGGATAATTCAGCATGAGCTGAACCATGCACTGGGCTTTCTACATGAACAGGCTCGAAGTGACAGAGACAATTATATAAAGATCATGTGGGAGTACATTAGTTCAGGTAGGTGCACTGGAACTCTTTTTTAGTGCAGAGGCTGGATTAATTAATATCTTATTGTTCCTATCTGGTCTTTGTTCCTGGAAAGCGGGGGCGGAGGGGGGAATTGATATATCTAAGGATGATATTGTATATTACAGGTAATGAAGGCAACTTTAAGAAAATCGAGAACTCCAACAACCTGGGCCTTCAGTATGACTATTCCTCAGTGATGCACTATGGCACGTAAGTTGGAATGTGGGATTTCAGTTCCTGAAGGTGAATAGAGACAAAATCTCTTCGTGAAACTTAGGAGACACAATTATCCTTTATAATTATCAACTTTAAATTTTTCCTGATGAAAATATGATTGATTGTGATTCAGTTCAAATAGACCCTTTCTGCAGGATAAGTTCATTATCCTGTATCTCCTGAGTAAAGTTCTTTGACAGGGCGGTAAGGATTGTTCCATATTTATTCTCCTCACATGACATCCAGATCAAGTTTATATAAAAGATACTTTTGACAGCACTGTTGTTTGATCTTGTTTCTGAAAGTCTTCAAGGCAGTCACATAAGAGCAGAATGTCTCACTTGTCACTACTGAGGACATTGATTACTAGGCCTCAACCACAGATGGGTACATTTATTATCAATTGGCAAACATAGTGTGTCGTGGAAATGCATCCAAGCAGACAAATAGGCCAGGTGCCAATGTTCTGTTATTAACAGTACTACATACTACTTCTCTGCATTCTAACACCATGTGCTCTGGACAATTTCTGTTGGTACTCATGTGGACCTCATCTCCACAGTATGTGAAAACCGCCAAGTTAAATATGACAACAGCTCTCTCTCTCTGCCCTGCTCCCCTGACAAAAGAGGTAAACAAAGAGGGCTTTGTCATGGTGAGTGGGGGTTGATTTGGCTTTTGGGAATTCTTTTGTTTTCGTGAATCCCAAGAACAATGGAAAGCTTGAACAAAGAGTTAAGTTTTACATTTAGCTCACAATATAATGGGGTCAGTGGTCATTCTAATGTTATGTGGCCATGAAGTCCATAGTTTTAAGTGTGGCTACTGTGAAGCTTCTTTCTTCCATGGTCATGATCCTTCATCATTCCTTTTAGTTTTTGGAGCTCCCATGGAACACAGATCCTGCAGGAGATCATAATCATGGGGGAAGGTGCAGCTTCCAAGATATCTAGGACCAGTCTTATACAAAGCTTTAAAAATCAGGACCTTAACCTTGGATTGGTCTCTGTGTTAAGTCCTCAATAGTACTGGGGTTCTCGGAGTCCAATCTGGTGGCCTTAAAGGGACACATAATTTCTTCAGGTGGTCATATAGCTGACTGTCAGCTAAAATTTGGCCTCAGATTTAGATTTTTGTAAAAATTAGCTTTAAGAATAAGAGAAATGTCCTAATGTTCCTTCCCCCCACACCCACACCCATCACCATAAACAGCAGAAACTATTTTCCTTCAACAGAACCTATATATCACTTGAGCTAAAGTGTACTTTAAAGTATGATTATTGGGCCAAATTCACCATTAAGGTAACTCCATGAATTTGGTGTTAGGTGGTGCCTAGGCCAGACTGGTGCTGGTCCTCTACATAGGGATGAATGTACCATGTACTCAGTATTCATTACTTTTCTAGATGAAATGGTTGGTCACAAGAATTATACAGCTGTAATGTAGGGTGGGAGTAATTAATGCACATATTATTCTTGGTGTAAAGCATATGGATTATACAAATGAATACTGTAAAATGTCTTTAGACATAGATAACGTGATTCTTCTTGTTCCTGCAGAAATGCTTTTTCTAACACGCCTGGGAAAGCAACAATTGTGCCAATTCCTGATGCCTCTGTACCTGTTGGGCAGAGATATGGACTGAGTAACCTGGATGTGGCCAAAATCAACAAGCTCTACAACTGCAGTAAGTGCATCATATCCATCCGCTCATCAACTGTTCAGAGCCCTCACAGAGGTACTAGAGTAGCCCTGTAGAGAGATGCTGCATCTGGAACATCCTGAAACTGCTATGTTCAGTGGGTCGTTGTGTGCAGTGAGAACACATGGCAGGTATTCAGAGACTGAACCTGCAAACCAAAGATGAAGACTGGGACACATCTTGACTACACAGTATACGATTTGTTTCCAAATCTGTTGGACCAACTCATCCTTGGTGTAAGAGGGTGTAGTTCCATGGAAGTGCTCTGAATTTGGCCCATGTAGTCTTTCCATTGTGTGCTTCCTTTCGGTCATTTGACTTCGGTGGAACTCAAAAAACAACTATAAGAACATCAAAGCATCTGTTATCACACTAATCTCTGACTGCAGACATAGGCGATTTCAGAGCTCAAAAGACCAAAACCAGTGTTGAGCCTCTCCAATGTGAAACAGTTTAGTCACAGCTTATCCATCCAAAACCTACAGATTTTTAAACACTTACATTATAATTAACATTTTAAAATAATAAATATTTAACTCTTTAATTTTAACTACCAGAGAAGGCATAGTCCCTCCCATTCAAAATACAAAACTAAATTCTAAGTCTCGGGGGAATCAGGATGAATAGAAAACATCCTCCAGAAAAAGAAGATACTTTGCTGACTTTCCCCATCACTACTGGAAACCCATTCAGCTCATATGCCAATCCCTCGGAAAAATTACATTTTCTCACATTCTTCTTACACGTGTAAAAAGAAATTGTAAACGTATGGCCCTTTGTTTGGTTCTGGACTTTAGATACAAAAATCTGGTGCTTTCCCCTTGTGCTATGTACTTGTTATTTTAATATAGATATTTATGAATGATCTGCAAATTAAAATTACGCATCTCTTCATTTAGTGGAGTGAATTTAACTACTGCATATATGCAAAGACTTTAACATTAAGGTTGACAGATAACAATATGGAGATCATTTCATTCTAACCAGAGCATGCTGTACCTGACTTGAATGTAAAAGAGTCTCTAAATCTGATTCTGGTATAATCTTTGTTTTTGTTTTTTTCTGTCAGATCGCTGCAGCACCATCCTTGATAGCCCATCTGGGTCACTGAGCTCTGAAAGCTACCAGTCAAAGAACTCAGGCAATGCTACCTGTTTTAGTCTCATCCGAATCCCATCCAAAAGGGTAATTATGGGATCTGATAGTTTTTTATATGTAATTGTACTGATGTCTGTCTGATTATGCATTTAGCTTTGCTTGTTACACTTCAGTTGCCAGATAGAACATGACACATGTAATTGTTCTGATGTCTGTCTAATTATGCATTTAGCTTTGTTTGTTACACTTCAGTTGCCAGATAGAACATGACACAGATTTCAAATTAAGTTCCTTTCTTGGGATATACAGCTGACATAATAGCTATTTTCTTTCTCTAATTTATAACATTCATATTCACATGCTTAAACTAGGGATAGAAAAAGACAGGAGTAGTTTTGATTTTGAAAAACTTCATTGGTTGGATCTTAGTTTTGCAAAACCAATGGAATGGCAGTTCACATTCAGATCCTGTTCTTAGAGCCCTGCAAATCTGCAGCTATCTGCTTTATATCCGTTGGTACTGCATCTGTATATGTGGATGCAGGTATACACAGTTCTTTTGCATATACAGATGCAAATGTGGATACACCTTTTGTATCTAGAAGCCTACAAATGTGTGGATATCTGCTTGATATCCTCAGGTACCGCATCCACAGATGTGGATATCTGCAGCTCATTTGGGGGAAACTGATGAGGATACAAAATGTTTTATCTGCTCAGGGCTCTGTCTGGTTTATCTGAACCACAAAAGTTCAGGACATGGGAGGAGATGATAGATAACTAATTCCAGTTCTGGTTCATATCCAGTTTCAACTTACTCTGTTCTAAAGGAACCTGTCTAAAATGAATCTGATTGGTGGGCATTAAAAGGGCTGTTTCCTCTTTCCTTTCAGGTTTCTTTGCAGTTTGATGCCTTTAATCTGCAAACCTCCAAAGACTGTAAAACTGAGTATATAAAAATATATGATGGAGTCAGCCAGTCTTCTGAGGTTCTACTGAACAAGACTTGTGGGACAGAGAGTCCCCCAACAATAACAGCTTCTGGCAAAAACATGCTTGTGGAGTTTGTCAGAGGCGGCACTGGTGCAGCCACCGGCTTCAAGGCTTCCTACACCTCTGGTAGGTCCAAGCAAAGGAAGAATGACAGAGAATCAGATACAAACAATGTTACATCTGAAGTCTTTTAGCTTTATCATCATCCCTCATCTTGCTTTGCTGATGTAACAAGATCCGTCTTGTCATGATTCAGTAACTAATTTCAGTAGATGGAGCACATTCGTTAACACTAGCGAGGTCATCAGGGTGATGTGGTTCCCAGACTCTACAGTTTGAATCATTTCTCAGATTTATGCCATTGCAAATCTCTTTTTATAAGTTGAATAAAACTTGTGTCCACTGGTGTATGATCAGCTGAATTTTACCATAACAGATCAGAGATGAACTTTAAGTAAAATTTGGATCGAGTTTGCCTAATATATTGCCAAGGGCAGGATTTTCAGAAGCACTCTGCTGGCCTGCCTCTGCTCCCATGGAGTCAGCGGGTAAAACTCGTTTTATTGACTTGAGTGGGAGCAGGGGACAATGGAAAGTGCTTTTGAAGCTATTCCTCTAAGACTGCAGCCCTCCTGATGAAAATGGTGTTACTTTATTTACCCCAGCTAAGAGAATAAAATCTGTGTTAAATAACAGCACAACAATGCAGTTTGTCTTGTATATTATTTTATTACACAAGATAAATCATCATTATGTATAAAAATATGGCTCCTTTGTAATGGATCCAGCTCACAAGCCCACAATTCAGAGGAACCAGAGAGACACAGAGAAAGGCAGATTACTTGGGAAAGAGGTTACATAACAGGCAATATTTCTGACCAATAATTCTTCCTACCAGTTAAAGATCTGTTGATTTCATTCCCCCATTCTGCTCCCCCACAAAAATGTTTTCTCGGGACCACTTGGGATTCCCTAAGGGTTGGACTCTGATGTCTGTATGTTACATCCATTCATGCTAATGATGGTTATGGACATGTATGGAGAGGAAAGTATGCTGGATTTGTGTGTGTTTCGGGGATTACTTCTCAATTACTAGAGAGAGATGCACAAATGTCCTGACCAGAAAACAGCATTGTCTGGCACCCCAGTAATCATATAGTTCACACAAACCAGTGTTCACAAAGCAAGATAGTACTGCAAATTCAATATTCTCTTCTTTTTTTTAACAGTAAAGACACCACGTGCCACATGAGAAGATCGGCATAGACTCTGAAAGGAAGAATTTATTCTGTGAATATATAAATTATGGCTTTGCTATTTTGCTTCCTTTCCTGCTATAATCAAAAGGAAATTTTTATTCTTTATGAATCAAACTCTCCAGGTTCTCTAGCAAGTGTGCTCCCTGATTCTAGAGTATATGGGAATTTTATGTCCTCTGTATCCCCTTTTGTGTCACATAAGATCAGTCCTCGACACGAGCATATAAAGTTATTGTCTGCACAGTTAAATTATTGTCTCCTTTTATTTAACTAATGATATTTTAATAAAATCTTCTTTTAAAAAAGTCCATCTTTCTTGTACTTTTTTGAGGGGGGGACCCACTTCATTAAATTGTAGTTGGGGTTCTATAGTATTTTGATGGACCTCTTTTCACCTCTGTGCTTTTTTATACACAAATTATCTGTTTTGGGGTGTGTGGTTTTTTTCAATAGTAATGATGTTTGTAAATCCAGGGGTGAAATCCTGGAGTTCATTATATGCCTTATTTGGATTTCTCTGCCTTTGACATTTAATAGAAACCGCTATTCCTATTATCTTTTTTATGCTCATTATAGAGCGTATTAAGCTCTTCAAACCCATTATCATACCCAGAGAAAAAGCATAAAAAAGAAATTCTTATGTATAGAATGGCTGCAGAATTTGCTACCCCTGCCCTCTGTTGAATGGAATCAGAATAGCGCTATGATGTCGCCATAGTTTCCAAGTAGCTGCATCTGTATCCTCCATTCCCTGGTCCATTGCAATGGTTTTTAGTCAGGTGTTAAGTTACCTGCCAACATGTGTTTGGGCAGAGAGCCTTGTCCCGTTCCCTTTGGCCCATGGGTTTGGGCTGCATGGCTTGCTGCCACATGCTGTGATACCCCCCAGCAAGCTAGGCTGTCTAATGGCCAGCACCTGCCTGTTGCTGTCTTTCCCTGAGGCATTGCTAGGTTTGCTATCTTTCCCAACCAGACAAACCAGACACTACTCACACCAATGGCTTCCAATCTGTTCAGTCAAGAAAGCTGGTGAACCTAGGCAGCGAGCAGGGCATCACCAAAAGCTAAAGGCTACCACATAGCCTTGAACAGAAGGTACTGGCTACTTCTTGGGTCAGAAAGAAGACTCTTAGCTTAAATGCAGCCTTTTTATTCCAAAAGACTTTCCTTTGTCTGATGGTCTCTAATAAACCTAGTTTGAGCTTCTGGACAGGTTTGCAACCTAAGGAATTCACCTTAATCACTCCTCACTGTTTTTTGGTTTCTGGAGTTGTGGAAAAGCTGTGTCCAACCTCTGGCCTACAGGGATACACAAACTTAATACGATAGGGTCTCCAAAGATATTGCTTAGGGTTGCAATATCTGTCACGGATGTGTGATAAGTCCCAATACTGTTACAGCTAAAGAAAATTCTAAGATAAAAATACAAGGTATTCACAATATTGTGCTCCACAGCAATCAGCAGACAAACACAGACACGGGCGAAACTTTAGACTTTGGGCAAAACAATAGAAGAAGAATGCCCTTTAACCAGAAAAGTCAAGACAAGATATCATTTGTGATGCTGCAAGCAAACTTACAATTCATCTTTAGATGAAGAAAAACCAAAACACCCTATACATGCACATCCAAACTCCCAAAGCCTTTGCTGTTTTCATGTTAAACTGCCCCCATAATCACCTCACCAGGATGAGCATTTAATATATCATGACATGTGTGAATCACATATGGTGGAAAAAATGTCTAGATAGCCACAGGGCCCCATCATCTTGAAAAACTGAGACCCTGACTTTCTGCTGCTTTGCACCTTGTGGAGTCCTTAGCTGCTTGGCAGAGTCATTTATACCCATGAAAAGTGATTCTGATTTAGGAGCAGTCTACACCCACTTTGCACAAATGTAAATAATAAAACTATTCTGAATGCCAGGTCAGGCTCTGACTGTACATACTGAAGGCCTGGCTGACCCTGACTGTAATGTTTAATAAGAACTCAGTAGTTTATCAAGAGAGAAGGCCTAAAACTTATTTATCAACTGTCCAAGCACTCAGCTCAGTCTGAATTTGCTCCAACCTGTGTAAACATTCAGACCCAAATTATAAGGACTGGCAATAACACTTAGGGAACTCTGTCTGTACAGCTTATGAATTCTGCTTCATACTGGGAGCTTGCGATAAGGTGTGTACTGCACAGCAGGGTTCCTTCTAAGCTGAGGGGCAGCACAGCCCTGCAACTGCTCAACCAGCCACACCCAGTCAGGGGCTCAGGACTCCGCACAGGGAGCTGCCTGACTGGGCGGGGCTGATTAAGCAGTTGTGGGGCTGTGCTGTCCCAGATTGGAGGGAACACTGTTCCACACAGGCTCTGAAAGAGTTAACTGGAATTGGAGCGTTCAATTAGGGCCCCTGCTTGCACCTGGAGGGTGGACCAGGCCTAATTTAAGATGGGTCCCAGGTGCATGGTCACTATAGTGGAAAGAACTAGAATGGAATGAGGGGAGTGTTGCAGTAGACTATGTGAAGGAGGGAAGAGGAATGTTCTTACTGGGTAGAGAACTCTGGTAAGAGACCAGGAAAGACATATAGTTGCTGCCAGTGTGATAGACTCTAGAGGTGAGCTCTAATAAAAGAGGCAGGGCCTGGGCCTGTAGGGAGAAAACTCTGGCAAACAGTTAACTGAGGAATAGAGCCCAGGGGAAACGTATGAGGGATGAAAATTCCTGCCTCAGGTGGTTTTAAGTGGTTTTAATTCATAATTTCACTTGGTGTTGTTGCAGGAGTCAAAAGGGGAAGACTGGCAAGCACCATGAGAGGTGGTGGAGCCAAGAAACACCAAGAGACTATGGAGCCCTGAAACAAGGTGTGTAAGAACCCCTGGGCCCTGAGTCAGGATGAGAGAGTTCACATAAGGTTTTTGAATTGCTTGTTGGTGGGTCACCCTGATGGTGGGGGTGAGCCTACGACTGATGTGGCCAGTGACTGGAGGTGCTAAATGCGGGTGGCAAAGGGCTATGATACCAGAGAGGATTTAGTTATTGACTGAAGTGCTTTCCCATTGAAACAGAATTGCTCCAAACAATAGGCTGGCTCCTCTCCAGGAGAGAAGTCAGGTGGTAAGGGTCTAGGATCAGCTGAAGTGGTATCCATAGGCTTTGAATTAAAAACACAGCTGAGGGCTTGTGGTTGCCTGGCAGCTGCCCAGGGTTGCTGCAGCTATTTAAAAGGCTCCTGGTTGTGCTGCTACCCTGGCCAGAGCTAGAGCCACAAGCCTTTTAAATAGCCATAGCAACTGTGGGTGGCTGTCAGGCAACATGGCAGTGGGGGGGCCAGATGCTGAAAGCCCTTTAAATAGAAGCCCTTGCATTGCCTGGGAGCTGCCCAGATAGCATTGTGACCATAAGTTGTTTAAACAGTATCCTGCTGTCTAAGCCACTGCCTGGAAATTCGGTGGCATGGGCAGCAGGATATAAATAGGAAGTGGCCAAATGTAGTCCGTGGGCTGAATCTAAATGTTAGGCGGGCCAGATCCGGCCCCCAGGCTGCATCTACAGCCTGTAACTCAGGGCTGAGTGCGTCCCTGGGCCATTCCTAGCTCTACTAGTTTGGTAATCTTGAGCAAGTCCCAACCTTGCTCTGTGCCTCAGTTTCCCTTCTTGTGACAAGGGGGAATCATACTGATTCTTCTTGTAAAGTGTTTGATACCTACCAATAAGAATTAGGGCTTCTTTATTATTATTATTATTATTTCAAGAAAAACTGCTTCTGTCACTAATGCTGATGTATTGGGGTCTTTGGGCACTACTGCAATACAATCAGGACTGGGGCCTCATTGTGCTAGGCATCTACAGAGACAGACCCTGCCCTAGAAAGCTTACCATCTCGTGTATGTAGGCTATGTGCACAGATGTTCCAATATACAATGAAGCTTGGAAAGGGGCTACAGGGACTCTGCCAGGTAGAAGGTTAAGAGCCAAAGGATAGTAGGTTGAAGATAAAGCATTGCAGCTATATATCTTAATGTTAATACTTAAAAAAATAAAACAGCAAATAGTCCCGCAGCACTTTAGACTAACAAAATGTAGATGGTATCATGAGCTTTTGTGGGCACAACCTACTGGGAAGCAAGTGAGCATGAACAAGGAGTGAAGGGTGAGGATGCTGTGAACAGAGGATACTGCAGAGCTGACTTAGGCCATGGCAGCAAGGAAAATGACAGATTGGCTTTGATTTATGCCCATGGATTTCATACTTTTAGCTGATTTTTTGCCTTCCATTTCTGGAATGCCCCCAGATAGCATTTAGGTCATTCCTGCATCTCAAAACTGTCTTCTCTGATTGAATTTTTTTTATCACTGAGAGGTTGTGTGCTATGGGAGAACTAACATTTGTGGGCTATCCAGAGACAAAACACAAGTGTAATCTACACACTTGAAACTGCTTCTGTCACTAATGCTGATGTATTGGGGTCTTTGGGCACTACTGCAATACAATCAGGACTGGGGCCTCATTGTGCTAGGCATCTGCAGAGACAGACCCTGCCCTAGAAAGCTGATACATACTTTTAGCTGATTTTTTGCCTTCCATTTCTGGAATGCCCCCGGGAAGCAAGTGAGCATGAACAAGGAGTGAAGGGTGAGGATGCTGTGAACAGAGGATACTGCAGAGCTGACTTAGGCCATGGCAGCAAGGAAAATGACAGATTGGCTTTGATTTATGCCCATGGATTTCATACTTTTAGCTGATTTTTTGCCTTCCATTTCTGGAATGCCCCCAGATAGCATTTAGGTCATTCCTGCATCTCAAAACTGTCTTCTCTGATTGAATTTTTTTTTTCACTGAGAGGTTGTGTGCTATGGGAGAACTAACATTTGTGGGCTATCCAGAGACAAAACACAAGTGTAATCTACACACTTGATGCAGTTCACTGTCTTGTGAAGCGGCACTTGGACTAGTTACAGAGCGAGGAGGAGTGTGCTCTATGGCCTTAGCTGAGAGTCTACTGGCAGTAAAAGCTCATGCGCTAAGCTGCAGAGGTCCCAAGTTTGGTTCAATGCGTCAGCATAACACAGGCTCTTCAGTTTTACTGAGTTAAACCAGGCAAAGTCAACACTACACCCCTGTCAGGGATTGAGGTCATCTAGTTTACCTTTCAGTAACACTAAAATGCCTTGTCGTTACTACACTTCTATTTAGAATAGCTCAGACACATTAGTTAACCTGTGGTGTTAAAATGCGCCCTTTCAGTGGTGATGACAAGGCCAAAGAGACCCCTGCATGGATCAATGCAGTTTTGTTCCATTCTCCAGCCTACGTGCAAAGCTAAGGAGACCACCATGTGCAATATGGGAACAATTTACAGCTCTAGGAAACTGGCTCTTACAAGAGGTGTGTGTGTGTATGATCCACATTGTATTGCCAAGTCCCATTTCTCTAACCCCCCGATCAAGGAAATATCAGTTCCCAGGTCAGATTCCTACATCTATTAACAAAGAGCATTTATTTTGGTGTTGAAAATGAATCTGTAACTGAAAAACTATTGCAGGCAAATGGTAAAGAGCAAGACGAATTGGAATCCTTCTGGGCGCACTCTTCTTTTTGCTTAGTACTGGGGAAACAAGACTTTCCTTGAGTTTTCTTCATGATGGTGTAACTGCAATAACAGAACGTTTGTAACTGTAGCAAGTGTCAATTCAAGGAGCATGTATATAATGAGTTGAAGTATAGCGTGCTAGTGCTGTATGCTACCCTGTAGAGGGCCAAGTTCAAAGGATGGTTCATTTCCTTTATCCTATGCCAGCAGATGCTGAAAGCATAGTGGAGATAATGTACTTAGGTTTCTCTCCACAAGGATAATAAGGTGCTTGCCTACTGAAATCAGTGGGAGTTAGGTAGCTACCTATGTTTGAGAATCTGAGCCATAGCAGGCTTTGGATCAGGCACTGAGCTCTCTTTGACTTCAACGGGTTATGGACTAGAACTTAAGCCATTAGAGATGGGGAACATTAAATCACTCTGAGGCTTCTCTTGGCCTGTGCGAAAAGAATTCTGAATGTGCAGCCTCACAGAACAAGGATGTTCAAAACTGGGACAGGAAATCTGTTATGCTTCAAAAAGGCTTGAGTGTAGCATGTGCATCTATATTTTTACAAACTGCTAGGGTAAAACTCGAAACGTCTCAGTGTGTTATACATATGCAAACAGACAAAGCTAGTAGGACTTTTACGACCTAAAATCAGTCATAATTGTAATGAGAGCCTTTAACTTCACATCCTTCTTCCCCTCAATGTTTGTCTTATGTTTCATCTCCAGGGACAGCTTTTCAACAGAACTTGAATGACCCTATTTTTCACAAACTGAGTGCACAGAAATGCCCACTGAGAAACTTAAGATCAAATCTAAGAGTTCAATATCTATTAAGGATGTAAAATCTAAGTTAACCAGTTAAATTTAACCACTTAACCAAGATCCTGCAGGCAGGGAGCCTAGCCAGGCTGTAAGTGAAATGTTAACAGGTTACATTCACACTAAACTCTGGAAACGTGACGACTTTTTTATTACAAAATGAGAAATGACCTACTTTGGCAATTCTGCCTTTGTTTAACCCCAGTGGTTATGTTTCATATCTGAGGACCCTTTAAACCATTGGACAAAGATCTTCTAAAGTATTGTGTGCCTAAATATCTTCTACAGACCTGGACCTAACCTCAGGGGCATGGTCCTCTGTTTGTCTGCAGTTTACAATGCATGCTTGTGTAACAGTAAAATAACCCAAAACAAACTAGTCTCGTGCTTTTAGCCACATAAAAATTCACCAATCCTCCCTCAATTTTTTGCAATTGGACTTACCAAAAGTGTAGTTCAGCATGAATCCAGGAAACACCCAAGCAAAGTCGCTGTGAAATTCTACCAGCACAGAGCTCTCAGAGGAGGTAAAGTCTGCAATCTGCATTGTCCCGCAGTATGGGCCAACAGCTGGGGATGTAGGTCGGCTCCCATCATGAATAATCAAATAGTCATACTTACATTCATCAATTTCTTCCAGCTCAAAGGAGACCATTGTTAGAAAGATCTATAGAAAATACAACAAAAACACTATGGTTGCATGTTATCTCCTTTCCCCTCGGTCTTGTCTAGTTTGGCAATTTTTCCAGGCCTAGACCATCTGCTACTATTTGTACAGTGCCTCAGCGGTAGGAGGCCCTGACCTAGGCTGGCCCTTATGTGTTAGTATAATGTAAATTATTATTATGGCTGTCAATTGACCTGCATTAATGCCTATGATTAACGCAGGGAAGGATTAATGCATTTTTTTAATGTGTTAATCACGGGCGTTACTGTTGTGCTGCCCCTTTGAAGTGCTGCTCCAGTGCTTCAAAGGGGCTTTGCAATGGTGGAGCCAGGGATCAGCTGGAGTTCCCAGCTGATCCTAGACTCCTAAGGCCTGCCCCTTGGAAACACAGCCACAGCGCTTCCAAGGGGCAGCGCTGCATGGAGCCCGGAGTCAGCTGGGGACTCCAGCTGATTCCGGGCTCCGTGCGGTGCTGCCCCCTTGAAATGCCGCCATGGTGTTTCAATGGGGAGGTGCACATGATTAATCACAATTAAATTTTTTTAATTGCTTGACAGCTCTAATTATTTATTAGAACTCAAAAAGCATTGGGCTTGGAGGTTGGGGGACACTACTGAATCATCTGGATAATTTCCTGTCCTGAGGTAGGTTTAATGTCACTCACTTTAGTAGTAAGGCATCAGATACCATTTTGAATATCCCTAGGAGCAAATATTCGAAATCCCAGTGTAGCATTTTGCTTTGTGACTCCCACTGACTTTTGTAGGCATTTCATCACCTAGGCTGTGTCCACAGTTCAAGATAAGGGTGTGCTTTCCTCTCCCGCCAAACACATCTTGCACTAGCTCTCAAGGAGTGTGAGTTTAAATAGCGGTGCAACATGAGTATCAGCAGTGGAAGCAAAGCTTAATTGTTCCTAATATATAGCCCCCTAAAACCAATGGGATATGAACTCTGCATGGCTAAGTCAAGCCTCCGTTGCCATTATCTGTGCTACTGCGGCTACACTGTTTGGCTATGTCTACACTGTGCTGGTTTTGTGCAAAAATATGTAAATGAGGCTATGCGTGGAATATTGCTGAGCTTCGTTTGCATAATTAATGAGCAGCTGCTTTGTGAGCAAGAGGCTTTTGTGCAAAAAGAAGCTGTCTACACGGCTCCTTCTTGCGCAAAACCCCCCTCTTGCGCACGAGCCATTCTTCCACACAGCGACCACTCATTAATGATGCAAATTAGGCTCAGCGATATTCTATGCTTAGCCTCACTTGCATATTTCTTGTGCAAAACCAGTGCAGTGTGGACATAGCCTTCATACTCACACTAACTCAATGACAGTTATTGCAAATGTGCATATGGGAGCAGGGGGAATCACATCTGTAGCTTGCAGTGTAGTCCTGGAGATTATTTTGAGCTAAACCTACCACTTGAGACAACCTCACCATCTGTTCACATTAAAGGCTAAAATGGTTTATTTAACTACCATAGTAGGCTATGGCACCTACTGAAGCTCTTATTGTGAGGGTGTAGGTTGGATACATGGGGTGAATTTCATCCTGTGAGTAGCTGGTGTTGCTTCTCAGAATGTGCTAGAACAGTTGATATTTTGTACTGCAAAGAGAAGCAGTCAGAAGGCATTGCTGGGGCCCGCAGAATAACCCTGCAACACCTTACCTTGCAATCTGAGGGAGCATGGATGATCCATAAGCAGTCCTGGTTTTTGGGGTATCTATTGGGATAGTTTGGGGAAGTGATCACCCCACTTGCACCAGTCAAAGTGCTTCCACATTTCACTGAGAAGAACAGAAATGATGAGCTTTTATTATTAACATCGTGTGACCAGGGAGAGAGACCCATAGGGATGTCCCTTTGTATTCTTCTCCCAGCTAAGAGAAAATTTATCTCTTAAGTTTCCTTCTCAAAAAGTTTGTTTCTGTGGCCAGCATCTGTGGTTTAGAGCATTCTAAGACTTAGAGCATGGTCTCCTTCGGAGAAGAGGGGAAAACTGAAACTTAATGCTGATTAAGATCTGAACTTAAGAAACTTTAATGTAGAAAAGGGAGGGTTTTTCCCACACCCATTGGCACGTTCCCAAGCCCATTCCCACTCTTGTACAATTTGTTTTATTTGCTCAAAAAGCAGAGAGCACAAGTGCAAATAAGGCACATTTCAACCCTGCATGGGTCCAATTGAAAGAAAGTAGCTAAGGTGTCAATCCTGGGTAAAATTTGCTTTTGAAAATTGCACCTAGTATCACAGCAAGAGTGATAAAAATTAGAGGGAACAAACTATTGGCTACAGCAGTAAAATAAGCTTTTTCCTTTTGTTAAAAGTCCAACATTGAGATGTTCTCCATATTTTCTCCATAAAAACCAAAGTTAGTTTGGAGTTGAAATTATCTTTCTTCTACTTGGTGCCTTTCATTCCACAGCACTTTCTAATGACAGACATGATAGCCACCAAGTCGTTTAGTCCCCACTATCCCACCCCACAAAATGCAGTGAGCTCTTGAGTGACGCTGAGAGAGTCCTAACCCCACACAGCAATCTTAGGGTGCATCTAGACTACAGAGAGGTATCCCGGAAAAGCTCTGCCATCTCCAAGGAATGCATCTGCTTTTACAAAAAAAAGTTCGGAAAAGCAGGTGAGTTTTTTCAGCATCCCTGTAAACCTCATCCTATGAGGAAGAAGGGATGTTCCAAAAGAGGGTTTTTTTTCCAACATTTGGCCCCATGTAGACGGGCCAAATGTTGGACAAGCCTCTTTCGGAAGAAAAGTGGGAAAAGATACACAAATTGCGGTTTGCAGTTTGTGTTTCTCTTTCTGACTCTTCTTTGTAGTATAGACACAGCCTTAGAGAAGTTTCAAGAGGAAGTGAGAAATTATCAGAGCCAATGGGAAACAGGAATGTGGAAGTAGGCAGCTTGTAATGACTTCCTTTGAAACTTGCCACGATGTTTGTATCCTGTTTTAGGTAGAAAGTCATGGGACCTTTATTAATCTCCCCGTAGCCAGGATCTTGGTTTTATGCTTGATTGGAAAGAATTCTCCCCGTTGTCTTGATTGGAAAGAATTCAAGCATCACACTGGGTGTAGCCAGGATCTTGGTTTTACACTTGATTGGAAAGAATTCTCCCCGTTCTCTTGATTGGAAAGAATTCAAGCATCACACTGGGTCCATTGGTTCAGCACTGAGTTGGGGTCTGATGACTACCTGTGGAAGCATCAAAACTACTTTCTGCTGCAGCTGGATGTTTCCTTGGGGTCTCCCCCCTCCAAATAGTAAGAGGGCCATATTCTGCTTAGTGAGGTAGCCCAAACTAAGGATATTAAACATTGGTTAACTGAATAGTTGATTAACCTCATGAATTCTTATCAGTTACTCAACTATTTGATAGTTTCCAGGGGTGTGGCCTGCAACCCATGCACTCTGGCCCCACTCCTGAAGAGGCCTCTGCCACTCTGCACTGATGCAGCAGCATGGGGTGCCATGCGGGAGCTGGTCCATGATGGGAGCCTGTTTAAAAACCAGCTCCCCTTATGGACAGGCTGCCTGTCACCCTGCGCTGCTGCTTCTGATACAGAGACCACAGCGTGGAGTGGCAGCAGCCTCTATCCAGGGTGGAGGCTGAGCTCCTGGACCCAGTGGGAGCTGGAACTGAGCTGGGCTGCCTGCCCGCCTGGCTCCTAATACACCTTAAAAGCAGAGCTGCAGTGGGGGATAGGTCCGGGACCCGGCGCAAGCCAGGACTGAGCCGGGCTACTGGTCAGTCTGCTAAAAAAACTTACTGGCAGGGGGAATTGTGTGTAGTCTATAGCATTAAGCTATAAGCTTTTGCTTATTGGTTAATTGACTACATTCCTAGCCCAGACCTCTCAGGGGGGTAAAGCCAAAAGATAAATTGACTTGTAGCAGCCTAGAAAATGCTAGGCTTGAAACCTGTAGTTACAACCATCCTCTTTTCTCCCTGCCTGCCCCTGCTAATTGTTAAAAATACCTTCCATGGCTCCTCTACTTTCTATTTTGAGATCTAAAATTGCACAGATGCCCGGATGCTAGTGGAGCGCTCTGCAGCCACTTTTCACTCTGTGGCTAGCAGCTCCTACTACTCAGTTTCATTTAAACAAGTAGTTGTAAAGACCACAACCAGCCCAAGGTTTCCTCAGCCTCCACAAGAATGCGGGGGATCTGAAAGTTGCTGGTGAGAGGGCCAAGTAGGTTCTCAGGTTTTCATTTTTTTTCTTTATTCTCAACTCCACAAGCTGCTGGCTTTGTCCCTCCCATCATATATATAGTAGCCCAGTGTCCGTGCATCTGTAACGCTGATGTACACTGCCACGCCCCCGGCCGTGTACATCAGTGCCCCACCCCCCCTTCCCCTCTGCGCCCATGGGGGTGGGGAGAGGGAGAGAATCCCGTCTTATGATGGGCTAATTGGCTAGTCATGCATAAGAACTGTTCAATGTGAGGAGGAAAAGGTTTTACCACCAAAAATTCCAGAGGGAGGAGGCAGGGAGAACACATTTTGCAAAATGTTCAGTTCTGCACATGAATATTTAAGTAAAAACTAGACACTTCACCAAGTTCTGTCAAAGGAATGCTGTTCGCACCCTGGGTATAGGAGGCCTGGAAACCTGTTGCTGCAGTAGCCTCATCGCTCACAAACTCTACAAGCATCACATTTCTAGAAGCCACCAATGAGGGTAATGGCCCCATCCCACACAACTT